TATATTTAATTCATACATGTTATATTTTGATGTGGGATTTTACCACTCAACAACAGGACATTCACTTCATAGTATGAAGTCATGCTTATCAAAAATTAAAAAAAAAAAGAAAAAAGAAAAAAATAAAAACCAAACAAGCACTAGAAGAAGCACGCAGTCTAACAAGCATTACATACCAGATGTCTGCATGATAGAAGTGGGTGACACAGAAGATAGCAGAAAACGAGAGTCCTCCAAAGTGGGCCAGTGAACAAGGAGGCTTCTCCGACCAAATGCATCTCGACCAAACCATAGCGTTTTTGAACTATCCTATGGTTGATGAATAAATTAAATAAGAGTTCAGTAGCAGAATGTTTTAAAATGTTTGATTCTCTACCTTAGCCCTCAGGCTTACCTGCCAAAAAATAATAGCCCATGGCCCCTTGATTGTCGAAAGAAGGTCTGGGACAGAACATTTATCTTTTTCTTCGCATGCTCTTCCATTTTCATGGGAATGGCAGGCGCAGCAATTCCCCAGTAATTCCATGAGGACTTCACCATCATTGCTGTCACTACCAACATGAATGCCTCCAAATATCTCACCTTTATCGCACAACAAATAAAACATAAATTGAAATTTTGAAAAAAGATGCAAGTACATATTTGAAAAGAAGAAGAAAACAAGATTGTCCGGTACCATTATAAACAAAAATGTTTCCAGCTGAGTCCACGAATGGCTGACTTATGGGAGTGAGTCCCCTTAGCTGCAATGTAGCTCCAATAAAAAGAAGTTCCGCAAAAGGCTTACAGTGGCTTGAACCATTTTCTAGGTTTCGTGCTTCTCCTTTTGCAGAAGAAAGAGAAGGGTTTCCTTCGGCCTCAATAAAAGAGACAATATATTGAAGCTTAACGGAAGTCGAGACCTTGGGATTAAGGAGAAGCTTCTTTGTGCCCAAGCTATCAGGACCTCTCCTCCTTAATGCAGCTTTGATATCATCCAGAGAAAACACAATCTGAGACACCGCAAAAACTCATCAGTACTGCTTTTCAATTTCAAATTTCAGATAATTTCCAAAGAGTTAAAAGAATACTTGCTCAGTTTTCGAATCGAGAAGGAGAGATGACGAAGCTAGGTGAATACCGGAGACAAGCAGAGCTATTCCGCACATATCTCGTTGCTTCAGCCGCCGGCGGTGTGTTCTGAATCAGAATTACAACGCCTTTCGTAGGTTATAATAGGGAAATCCTGTTTTACCGTGGAAAGTCCTTCAGACCGTAATATATGAAACATTGAATACAGGAGTCTCTAATGTAAGGGGACTCATTTCAACCTTTCGAGAGTCTCTAGACTCCGAGGATTCAATTCAGTTAAGGTAGTAATGCTCAATGCAATTTAAATTATATTATATTTTTTAAGATTTCTCTATTCTATATTTTTAAAATATAAAATAATTATAATTTTTTTTAAAAAAATAAGTTTTTATTTTTAATTTAAAATTAACCAATAAAAAACTAACACATAACATTTACGATTACAATAAAAAATAAACTTCAAGGTTTTAAGAAAAAAAATGATAATTATTACATAATTAATATTCTTTGTTTTATGCCTTAACTAAGATATATGATAAATAAACCCTATCTTTTTTATTATATACCGTTGTTGCTATCAAAATTAGTAGAACAATCTTTAACAGGTTAAAAATAGATCAAATTGTATATTAAAAATGAAGTTTAATATGTAATTAGTAAAGTACTTTAATGTGAATACTTAAAAAATAATTTTTAAAGATATTTTAATAAATTTATAAATCAAACCTCTCAACATTTTTCCAATCAATTTCTTTTGCAAAACTTTTCCAATAAATTAGTATGAGAAAATATTAAATTAATGCTACTTATTAAATTTTGTTATCTTTAAGACTCAAAATGCATTACAATGAAAAAATTGAAAATGGACTGACATTTTATTACTGTTTGAATAAGGACTTGTTGGGTATAGTGATTAAAATCTATTAAATAATGGATAGTAGTAGTATATAACAAATGACAGTTAATAAATAATAGATAACAAAAAAATAAATAGGAGATTATAAATATTATATTTTAATTAATATAATTATTTAATTATATAATAGTTAACCATTATTATTTAACATTAAATATAAAATATAAAGTGTGAATTACATACTTATTTTTTAATAAAGAAAAAATTATATTATTTTTTATAAAAAGTAAACTTCATTATCTTGTCCACTTAGCAAATTTTATTTATTAAATTAAAATAAATTTTTTTCTATAATAAGTTAATGTAAAAAATAAAAATATAATAATTACTTAGTGTTATTAATGAAAAAAAGACAATCAAAACTAATTAGATAAGCATAGTGAATAAAAGCCATGGTAAAAAATTGAAAAATTAAAATGAGTATATCTTTTAATAAAATTAAAAAATTTTAATTTGTTGGCATTTTGGTACAAAAACTATTTAAAATAAATTTTTTAGTTAATTAGCGATTCAACCTTAATCACTATCTGCTACTAGTCTTAATCTAATAAATAAAAAATTTTACTAAATATCTAATTTATAATGATTTTGAAAAAAAGTAAATCTACCAAATAATTATTATAAAATAATTTTAAAAAATCCACTAATTGCTATCCTAAATACGCCTAAGTCTTTTTTTCACTAATGAATTTTAATCTTCTCTTTTAAAATTTAATTTCAAATTGTGATTTAATCTAGAGAATTTAATGCTTTTTCTTTTAATTTGAATAATGATTATCTATTTAATTTGAATCTTATAATAAAAAAAAACTCTTTTAAATTGAATTAATTATTCAAGATTCAAAATTCACCTTGTTAGAATTTTAATTTAAATTCACAATTAATCTCATTATAATATCTTTTTCAATTTCAATAATTTTTTTCTCTTAAATTTTATTTCAAATTCTTATTTCACCCAATCTACTTTCAATATCAATGTCAAATTGTTATCTCACGGGATTTAAATTCAATTTAGACTCATGA